GTGCCGTATATATAGCTCTGTGTACACGGCTACGGTAGCACCACGCCGCCCATCATCCCTCTTCTCCGAGACTATATATATATTCGAGGGCGCCATGCAGGGGGGTGTAAGAGTAAGAGCGAGACAAGCATCGGAGCATGTGCATTGAGGCAGCGGTGCAGGGCGACACACACTCGAGGGCTCGTCTACAATGGGATACACGCACACACAGCCGAACGCAGGGGGGGGTAGAACGAGAGCTTGAAAGCTCCACGCGTATAATACCTACTCGGGCGCGAGTGCGAATATTATTGTCGCAGCTACATCTCTATACGTAGCTTTTTTTTTTTTTTTGTTTTTTCTTCCTTCGTTTTTGGGCGTGCATCTCTTCCATTGTCCGAGGGACGCTGCGCCGTGCACGTGGATTATGCGTAGCTTTTTTTTTTCAAACACCCGATTACCCGCACTCGGGGTGGTTCAGCATATTTTACTGGAGACTTTACGGACGATAAAACTAATTTGTACGGCCAAAAAACGATACTAGCGTATACGCACAATATTCTCACGCCACTCGAATAAATGTAAAACGTATATATCCTCGGAAACTCTCCGCGGGGAGCTTCAATGCATGCAAATAAAATGCGAGCCTATATGTATGCGGTACTATATGTACACACATTATACTCGCGAAAAAGAAACAATTACTCGACGATCGTGAATACATCGACCAGGTTTTCGTCTCTAGGCACCCAGAGTATATAACATATACGTGTACGATGGAGTAGGCGGTTTAGGCGGCAAGGGAGAAAGAGGAGGGAAAATTCAGCTGCAGCCAACGAAAATGAAGCCGAGCACTCACGCGCGCCGGTGGATTATAAAAATTCGAACGCTCCTCTGATTCCCTTTTGTTTTTTCTTATCCTTTTTTCCCTCCCAATGAAACGCACGGCCCACAAAGTCTCGAACAGAGGGAGGACTCGATATTTGTACAACTGGTGGTAATGCAAATACAGACCACACCCATAGTCCACCACACAGAGTGAAACAACGAGCAGCTCGTAGCATCGGGAATCACAACAATTCGCGCTACGCCGAAATAGAGATCGGCAAAGGAGATGATGGGGACGAGGGATGTGTGTGTGTGTGTGTGTATACCAATGTACAGTTTGTCGCCACGCAGGGGATGCACTCGAGCAAAACAGATGCAGAGAGATGTTGTTGATTCGCATCGCCGACGGTGCGAGGGGGGAAGGGGTCAAGATGCCGTGTGTGTGTATACACACTCCAATGCACGGAATGCCGATCCGTACACGAGGGTATGCGCCGGACAGTACCGCTCATCTGTACACACATGTATCCGTGCATAGCCCCAGACGCAGAGTATATAACATATATTATATAAGGTGCACCACGAAGTATCGTACCTGTACGGAATACACCTATACCTATATACTGCAAAACGACACGCTCTAGGCTTCCAAGATATGCTGAGCAGACTGGGACCGGATAATGTACAGGGCGATGTTATGCAAATGCTGGACCAAAGGGCTTGCCGTGTGCGCGAGGCACACGCTGTTATCATATCCGCATGGAAGAGTGTGCAAGACACGCGGAGGGCCCTCTCTTCGTATGGGGCTCAAAGCTGAGCCTGCAGTGGAGGGGTATAGATCGGCTATATACTGGCGGCACATCGACAAGGGGTGGATACACCGCATACCACCTATACTAGGACGTAAGTGGCAGATAACGGGAGGGATTTCAATCGGATCGGCATATTTCGCGCCCCGGGTCGTACCGAGAGGAAAGCTCCCTATACAGGTATACGTGTACGGGCCTCTCGGTTTCGAGTGGCCACTCCGTGACATATTGCGCGCGAACTGCACCAGCAGCGAGAACGGACCTATACGTGGTGTACACACACACCGCTGAATCGTGCCGTATATATATATACGCGCATAGGGCGATACAGACACGAGGCAGTCGGTGCCCCGCATCCTTACCAAACACTCGAGTCCCGAACAATATCGCTCGCCTCCCTCCAGCTGCATTGGATTTTCGGTACTTTCACATTTTCGGCAATTTTCGATTTCGAGGGGCTGATATACCCACGACCCCCTTTTTTTTTTTATTTTACCGGTCAGCGTTTGTCCGATAGAAGAGAAGCTACATGCACAGCCGATGCCTCCACATATACATTGTGCCGGAGATACATAGGACACTGCAGCCCATCATCGACGCGCTCCCTTTTAATTGGACGACGGCGGATAGGTATTATCTATTCGGTGCGTCGCCTAGCTGCTATTGTGTACAGGTGTACGCGAGGGGGCTTTTGTACCCACATGTGTTGGGGGGGGGGGGAACTTTTGACTGGCTGAAAAGCTCGTGTCACATTTTCGCTACCAACCCCCCTTCATCGTGTACTCTTTCTCTCTCTCTCTCTATGAACCCCTGACAAATTAACGCGGATGTTACGATGGGCTTGGGAGCTCGTTAAAAAGCTACTCCCCCGTGTACCGCTTATTACAAACTCTGAATAATCGCGCGAACGTGCCCGTGGCGCTTAAATGCGGCTGGCGGGTGTATATATGTATATTATTATTATTTAATTCAACCGGGGTACACACACCGAGTCCGTGTATACTTGTACAATTTAGTTTTGAAAACAATTTCATTCGTCCTTTCTACATTTTAATGTGTATCGTCGTTTGCGACGCTAATTAATCCCCATCGGCCAGTGCTTTTGATTTTCGGTTACCCCAGCAGTTTTTTTTCATTACTGGGTGTATACAGTCTCAATAAAGAATCCGCGCTGATTTTTAAGTTTATTCGAGCGCTTGTACACGATGGGGGGGGGGAGAGGAGGAAGTAAAAAAATGAAGTGCACACAAAAGGTCCTCCGAGTTATTATACCCAAGAGAGAAAGACACAGCGGGGGGGGGGGCTAAGAAGCTTTGCCATTTAAATTGCCGGGTCGTCTTTTTCTCCCCAACTAACACTTCGAAACTCCAACTCAGACGCGCGTCTACTCTCGGCTTTTTCAACTTTTTCATGCAAAACAACGAAACTCGAAATAAAGTCACCCGCAGAGAGCAAAAACTGCATAATATAGCTTCGGGAGGGCTAAAAGGTAAATAATATACATTATATTTATATTGCTCGCTCGGAAAAAGCATACGTGTTCACAGCCACGTAAAAAAAAATATATATATATATTGTACATACACACGCGTGCACTGCGGAGTAGATGCGAGTACACCTGGGCGCTTGTGCCCAAAGTTAAGAGCAAAGGATCGAAAAGGAAGTTTTGCTCTGGTGGCGCGCAAAGCTTCCTGCCCTCGCTGATTGCGCTCCGAGGTGATATTGTCGTCGTGGGTGCACCCGACCGCGAAAAGAGAGTCGCCCAGGTACACGCTGCTGACGGCAACTCGTTAAAGAAGCTTACCACCACCACCATGGGGGAGAGATATACAGCCGTAGCTACGCGTACAAAAAAAGGGTCCAGGGAGAGAAGAGGCAGGGGTGGGGGGTGAGAAAAACTTTTGCACCCGCTGTTGCTTCCTCCTATCTCTCTCTCTATTTCTCGGCGTCTTCGCTTGACTTGCGTGTGTATATATATATATATATATATACTATATACTCTTCTGTACTTATTCGTACGACGGCGACGCGGGTAAAGTTGTGTGTGTACACGGCGAGAGTCACGCATCGATGCGCCAAGGATTCGCGCGATAATTTACCGAAACTCCAACAATTCTTTCCTTCGTTTTGTCTCCCGAGCTTGGCCGCGCTTTTTACTTTGGGTCCGGCTGGCACTTTAGCTGAAAGAAAGCAAAGGACTTGACTCCACCGAGTACAGCTCTCTCTCTCTCTCTCATATATATATATACACTACACTCCTTTTGATAGCGAAAAATGTGCTGGTGATAAGAAAATAACGAAAGCTCCGCTCGGCAGAGATAAGAGTTGAGATTAACGCTTATACAATGTACGAGGTGTGTATAGAAGGCCTTTGCTGTCGTTGTTGTCGCGTGTATATACACAGGGACGAGTCGTTCTACTGTCACCGGCACTCGAGGGCTCTGCTTATCCTGCGGCTCCTTTTTTTTTTTTCTTTTTTTTTTTCTACTAGGTACGTTTAATACACTCGGCGCTGTCAGGCCACCAGATCAGGGAGGAAACTTTGTTATTACGAGTGCGCACTATATCATATCGAGTCTCTACCCTTGCCGGGAGAGAGAAGGCGCGTATATGCCATCTGCATTCACGTTTGAGAGCTTTTAGCGCTCCGACAATGGCTTTTGCACTTTCTCTCTCTCTCTCTCTCTCTTGCGTCAGATACCCAGATATAAGGTTGATACCACTGGCGCTTGTGTTTTAAGACAAACGATCGCGACGGCCGTCATATCTGTTGGTACCGTAGACGTATAGTGCGTTGTTTGTATTTGCTTTGGAAATATACAGGATCTTTTTTTTTTTTGTTGTTTGGAAGCAGAAATACTGCGGTTGAAACAGTTCCTTTGTTTTTTTCATTTCCTCACAAAAGAAGTAGATTGGTACATTATGTACAATATATAGACTGTGTTTGATCACGAACCCGAAAGAGCGTCGACTTACAGAGACCGGCGATGCGAGCACCCTTCGCACATACACACACACCCATGTATAATATCTCATGTCTGTGTACAACTGCAGGCACACACGTGTTGTTATTGTTGTTGTTGTTGTTGTTGTTGTTGTAATAACGTATAGTCTCCTTCAAAGTCAGAAAGCAAACAATCACCTTTGGAACTTTGTCCCAATTTACACATAGTGTAATGAGTGAAATGAGCAAAGAAACAATAAATTTTATATAGCCATACATGTATGTGATATGGAGATAAGAGAAAAAAAAAAAAAAAAAAAAAAAAAAAAAAAAGTGTATTGAGAATTAAATTGAATGAAAATGAACCCATGAAATCGACGCCAGTGAAAAATGAAACTGATTTGTTAAGAGGGGCTTCTTGTTGTTGTTTTTGCCCTTAGATGGGCCGGCCATTGTCCGGGTAAACCTGTTTGTGCGAAGCATTGCCACAATAAGTGACATCAAGATGGTAAGTATTGAAACGCCAAACAAGCCGAATGAGACTATTACATATAAACTTACCATGAACAAAAGTCACGTAAAATCACTCGATCAAGCATTATGATATTACCTGTAATATATCTGTTGTTATATCATGTAAAAAGCGAATGCCTGTTTATCTTGCTTAAAGTAAATAATAATGATAAAAAAAAAAAGTTCTAAATTAATGTACATACACTCGAGTTAGTGAATCGAGCTACAGTATTGTTTTGTAAGTATCGTCTATAACGATAAAAAAAAAGCACTCAGACGTCTCTTGACAGCATATTGTTACCGTTATTTATTTGCAACCTGGAGCTAATTTTTATCTTTCGTCACAACGTTGCCCGTGTTACACATTTCTCTTTCGTTCTCTTATCTGTGTCTCCCATATTATTATTATTGTTACTATTATCATCATTACCATTGCAAATATACGTATTCGCATATATTATATCATAAGGATATATATTGCTGCTGTAAAAAACAGAACGACAGAGTATTCACTTGCGAAAATGTTTTTAAAGATGTATTTTTTTTTTCTACAATTTTCCAATTTTTTCTGGTCCTCGTCTCGCGGTGATGAAACGATCAATCAAGCGAGTCGAGGGACAGCAAAGTGAAACACGCACGCCGAACCATGTACACCTGTATACGAGACTCCTTATGTGCACGGAACCCCCCCCCCCCACACACACACATACAGAGTCATGCGATACACGCGAGCTAGTTTGGCAAAGAAAAAGCAAGAGAGAGAGAGAGAGAGAGCAGAAATGTGTCGTTGCCGGCGTCACATGTATATATACATAGTACTAGTAGTAGTAGTAACAGTAGTTAACTCTCTCTTTTTTTCTTTCTTCCTCTCCTAGCTCCCCCGCACTCTCGTACACTTACACGCGCACACGTGTACCCCATGTTTTTTATCTTTTTCCTCCCCTTTGTCTCCCTTTTCCCTTTGATACATGGAGAAAACATTTTTTTGTTCCACCATTTCCCTTTTACGCCACCCACCCACACACACGCGCGCGCGCGTACGCCCCGCCACAAGAGACACACACGAGCACACGTTGTTAATTTCTTCCGTATATGTATATTATACATGTACACATGCATTTGTATACGTTCGAGCATCGTCGTACACTTTTTTTCACGTAACGCCGCACACACGCACGAATTCGACCGACCCTCCTCTTTTCGCATACGCCTGACAAACCCACACTTGTACACCCTTTCACGTCCACCCACACAACCGCAGTTTACAAAACCAAAAGTATGTAATAATATATATAATACATTACACAATATTATGTTGGATGATATGATATTACATAGTGTAATGGAGTGTACACACCTTGACACGACCTATAGAGCATTTATATACTTAGATAATAGAAGCAGGCATGTGGCATATTGAATTATTACTACATATATATATATATATATACCAGCTTGTTTTGCGTATATAGGCACATGTGAATTAAAATAAATATAGCTAATCATGTATATGTGTATGTTAAAAAAAAAAGGTTTAAAGTTTAAGATTTATAGTACTACTACTCTTATTATCAAGTATGGAGTACCAAATCAGTGATTGACGATTTACGCATAGGATATAATTACGTATATAACCGATCGATAAAAAAACAAGCGAACCCATACGCATCGACCGTATATACAATCAGAGATAAAAACATTTACTAGAACGAGGAAAAGCAAAAAAAAAAAAAAAAAAAAACATAGCACATAGACAACGTGGAAGGTGGTGATGTACGCCAATCAAAGGGAGACCCGACCGGGCGAACCAGATAGCGGGAGAGAGAGAGAGAGAGAGTCGGTCCTCGGTAATTGATTGCCATCACGTAGTATCCTGTAACAACGTCCCAATCGACGGCTTGTTAATCTAGGGTTCGTGTTTTTCTTCCCCCCTCCCTCCCTCCCTCCTCCCCTCGACAAAGCACACCATCACTCGCAAGTATAGCTGCACGCGTAAACACACACGCGACAACTCCCCCGTAGTATCCACAGGGATCGTCTTACCTTTGAATCCAGCGCTCGAGTCACCACACCGTCTCGAATGTCAACGGGCCAACCGGCTCTCCCGAAATTCTCTCTCTCTCTCTCTCTCTCTCTCGGTTCCACGTATACACCCCTATACTCTACTTAACATAGTCAGGCATAGGTAAGAGTATGCGATGCATCATCATTATTATTATTATTAGTATATACCTGTGTACAGAGCGGCGTGCCATCAGTCACGTCAAAAGGATGCTTGGCGCAAAGGCGCGTCGTGTGTGCACGTACAACAGACCGGTAGTGGGAAAATCAGGTGCCACGAGGGAAAACAAGCTACGTGAAATATTTAGTTGGCGCGTGTACTTACGTGCCAGGTGGGAGGGACTGGTAAAAAAGCTCCACCTCGTGTATGTATGCTCTTGGGCAGGGAGGGGAGGGGCGAGTGCATGCAAGTCTTCGGATTTCAGCTCTTATAGGGGTATAAAAATGGGTACGTATAGGTATATTATGTACATATACATTTGCACCGCGTCGGAGGGGAGAAAATGGGCTCGATGTAGCCCCGGAGATTTAGATATTCATATTTTTAGGAGCGCGCGGCGCGCATTGCTCTCCTCCTTAAGAGTACACGTATATATACAGGGATACAACGCCCGCTTGGAATAATTTTTTAGGGAGTCTCGTCAGATGACACTCTGAGCCTCGCTATACACCGTATCTTATATATACATATACTCTCGAGTTACAGGGACACACATCGCCAAATTTAAATATTTAAATTTCCGCCCGTACCCCGTGCACATATACAGTTTACAGCGTGCATATATATATATATATACCCATGACAAGGGGGTGTCATATCAAAACTTATCGCGCGCAGTTGCGCCGTGCCACCGTTGAGTACCTGCCGTACAACTGCCGGCGTGTTGGCGTAATCTCGAATTTACGAGCCCCACTGCTCGGCAGGATACGCGAGTGCCGGTAAATCAGTCCACGCGAATGTCTTCTTCATTCGAGGGGCCGAAAGTAGAGGCACACGCGATCGATTGCATAAGCGCAAACAGCTCTATATTTTACCAAATACCTATATGTGTGAGGGGAAGGCTTCGTGATTGGATTAATCAATGCGCGCACACGCTCCGCGAGGTAATCCCCGTGAGTTTGGGTATACGTGCTTTTTCCCTATACCTTTTCACGGGAGAACGCGCGAAACAGCTCCGCCGGATGGGTATTTTTTGCTCGCCGCCTGGCTCCGCGTGTAAGGTGGACTTTCGCGACTATGCCCTCCTCCGCTGAATAAACGAGCGCGCGATGCTGCTGTTGTTTGTTTGTTTGTTTTTTTTTTCCCTCGCACGCTCCGGTGTTACTGGATATCGGTTGGAAAAATAACGCAACTCGCGCGTCCCAAGTACGAGAGCGTGTAGGTAAAACAAAAAAAAAGAGAGTTGCGTTGCGTCGACTGTTACTGCAATTAGCACGACAACGGCGCCGATGACTTTTTTTTCTGCCCGTTGACCTCATTAGGAGCGCGTGCCTATCCAATATTGTCTGTTGCGCAGCTTATGTACTTACTTCTGCTGCTCCTGTAGTTGTTTTTTTTTTTTTTTTTTTTTTTTTTTTTTTTTTTTTTTTTTTTTTTTTTTTTT